GTGATGCTACCATTCGCATTCACGTCTGTCTGCCTCCCATCATATGTTCGTGCGTTGCATGCGTGTTGTGAGTGTGTGCAAGAATTTGTGTTTTGTGCGGTTTGGATTTTCTGAGTGTGTGTGAATGTTATTTGGCTTGAGCAGATATCTTAAGTGACTCCACTGCTCAAGAGCTTTCCGACGAACCAAGAATCACTTCAATTGGAGCACGAACAAGAAAGTTACGAACGTTGGAGTTCGTATGCTTTTGATATTTGGTTGTGGTGACCATGGAGAGTTGTGGGGTTGACTCAATATGGGGTACAGACTTTTGGGGGTTGGGAAATTCGTCACTACTACTGTAGTTGCTGCCAATTGGTTGGGAGAAACCAAACCAGGTTGGCAAGTGTGGCCAAGTTGGGTTGAGGTGGATTGTGGAGGTTGGGATAGTGACAAAGGTCAAAGTTGGGTTGCCTATGGGGAAGGGAATTGTGTGGCATGGAGTTTTCTTTGGTTGGGGACTCCTTGGGACCTTCCCTCTCGTCCTCCTCTTTCCTCCTACCTGGTTTAGTGCTACTCTAACTCTCTTGTGTGTAACTCTTGTGAACTTGTGAAACTATTGTGAGTGAATTTAATTTCTATGTGACAGCATACCCCCTTGTGCGCCGTAAAGCATAACTCGAGATTTACTCCACCTTTCGATACGATTCAAATTGGGAATGATAGCTACGAACAAGGGCTATAACATACTCGAGTTTGAGACGATTCTAACGGTGCACTTTTCGTCGACAACGTTTCTTGTGAAGTCGCGGTTTCTGTCCAGAATTTCAAGCCAACGATTTTGAGAAATTTAGGCTCCTAATCTTCACAGACTCGATCCTTAGTCTCTAACAAGACCTGCGCCATGGCTTTAATCAGATTCCCATAGAAGAAGAAGACAAGAAGAAGACAGCATTTCATGACCCAGATGGCCTTTACGAGTGGAATTACATGCCGTTTGGGCTGAGAAATGCGTCAGCGGTTTTTCAACAGGTAATGGACGCGGTGTTGTGGGGACTCAAGGGGGCAGCGTCGCGTACCTGGGATCTGAGGTGGCGGGGGGAAGGTTGAGCATCCAGAAAGCAAAGGTGGAAGTCTTGGACATGGTGAGCAGGCCAAAGGACCGGAGTGGGCTGAGGGCGCTCTTAGGCTTCCTGAACTACTACAGGAAGTTCATCGCGGACTTCAGTAGGAAGGCAGCCCCGCTCAACCGCTTGCTTAAGGAGAATCATAAGTGGGAGTGGGGAGAGAAACAGGAGATAGCTCCGAAGGGGCTGATGGAAGCTGTGAAACAAGGGGCAGTGTTGAAGCTGCCGGACGGGAAGGCGCCCTTCGTCCTCTACACTGACTGGAGCAGCATAGGGATGGGGGCAGTGTTGAGCCAGATGGAGGAGGGGGTGGAGAAGGTAGTAGTGTTCGCAAGCCGGACATGCATGTCAACGGGAGTGTTGTGTGGCCCCGTCCTCGCTTGGGCGGAGCCGACCTCGTGGTCGGATGTTCGGGGGTTGCAGCCGACCTGCAGCAGTGGTCACGGGGGCCACTGCAAGGGCGCCAAGCTGGAGGGCGCCTGGCTGGAGGGCGCCGAGCAGGAGGACGCCGTCCTGGACGCGTGGTTGGCGTCTTGGACGCCTTGACGGCGTCCTGCGAAGCAGGACGCCGAGCTGGGTGTCGCCACGACTACCCGGGCGCCTGGTCGATGTCGTGGGCGCCTGCACGGCGTCGTGGAAGGCCAGACGCCAACCTAGGCGTCTGCATGGCGTCCTAGTAGCCTGGGACGCCGCCCTGGGCGTCTGCACGGTGTCCTGGGGGCTTGGACGCCGATCTGGGCGTCCTGGGGATCCGGACGCTTATCTGGGCGTCTGGTCGGCGTCCTGGGAGGCTGGACGCCGCTCTGGAGGTCTGCACGGCGTCCTGGGGATCTGGACGCCGACCTGGGGGTTCGGAGGGCGTCCTGGGCGCCTGGACGCCGGACTGGGGACGCCGGGCATTGGTGGCCGGCTACGGACTGCGCTGGTTGACCGGGCGTGGTTGCCCGGTCGACCGGGATACCTAGGCGAGTGCACGAGTGTCGCCGGTGTGGAGTCAGCGAGGCCGACCTCGGGGGTGGTATCCTTAGGTCGACGTGGCTGGTGGGCGCAGTCGCTGGCGTGGAGTCTGCCAGGCATCTGCGTTGTGCTCGTGACAAGGTGTGGAGCACCAACCAGCTGCAGGCACCTGCGAAGCAGGTGCACCGTTGTCCTGCGGGTGCAACGTGTTATAGTCTGCAGTCCACTTAGAGGTCGCGGATGCCCATGAAACCCCCTGACGTCTTCAAACCGCCTCTGTTCAAAACGCCGTCACGATCAGCTCTTAACTCATACGAGGCTGAAACTTGGACAGCAGTTAGCCTTAGGTGCCTGCTTTCCAACGGTATATTACTTGCTATTATCAGAGGTGTGTGCACTACGCAGTGAACGAAAACGGAAGCTCGGCTGAAAAACGTGTAGTTTCATTGATGCAAGGAAGAGGTGAGTACAACATAGCCTAGGGGACTCATAAGGAGTTGGGTCATCCTGGGAACTCAGAGAAGGTTGAGTCCTAGGGGAGAAAGGCTAGAGAAGAATGGGAAACCTCCTAGCTAGGTCAGCAAAGCCAACCACACTTGGATGTTCAGAGCTGTACTCAAGGTTACCAATAGTGAGTCAAGCCAACATGAGTCAGCTTGTCTTCCCACTTGCACCCTCTTGCAAGCTGCTTCCAGGAAGACCACACTTCTCAAAAGGAGGGTTGTAGAGTCCAAATTGACCAACTGTACTTCTTGTCTCATTCTCTGTCCCTGCACCATTGGCATGACAACAATGAAAGGGTGGCAAGGGAAATGCTGCCAACAGTGCACCATAACTACGGAACAGTGAATTTCGGCAGCTGTCACGCAATGCTCAGATGTTGCATCGTTCTGAAACTTGGTGACCATCTGCACAGCGCGAAAAAGGACTGCCAGACCGAATTGCAGACCAATCAAATCTCGGTAGACGAGTCAGCAGCCGAAATGGTGAACTCGGGTGTTACCAAAAATGAGTAACACACACTTCCGGGATGCCATAAGTCTTGAAACATAAAATGTTGTCATGCCTTGGTAACTGCTTCAAAAACTCTGAAACTTTGAGGGTTTGAAGAACACATGTTGAAAAACCTCCTCACAAAATTCCAGAAGCTGAGCAGGCTTGTAGGCCGAATGGGAGTGCGATGACCATGCCACTGTAATGTGTTGGCACAACACAACGCTGTGCAGCCGACTTGCTGCAGGGTTGGCACACCTGTCAGAACATTATAGCTTATGCTTTTGTGTAGGCAGTAGTGGGGTAGCCCATATGGGGTACAACCCAATTAGGGTTAGTACTTGTACTCACTTCATTCATAGTTGATTTATTCTCGTTCTCACTTTCTCATGGTATCGAGCAAGTTCTCTCGTGGGAACTGTTCCTAGGGCCCACCGATCCTTTTTTTTTTTTTTTGCCCGGGGCGCGTCCTGCCCCTACCCGAAGCGCGCCTAGGGTCGCGCCCTTCTTAGCGGCCCCGTCGCGTCACCTTAGCGGCCCGTCGCGTCGCCCTTAGCAGCCCGTCGCGCCGCCCTTACGGTCGCGTCGCGCAGCCCTAACGGCCGCGTCGCGCCGCCCTTTCACAAGCGGCCCGCCGCCGCCCTTCTCACGGCCCCGCCGTCCCGTTATACGTCCCCGCCGCCCTCACCTGCGGCCCGCCGCCCTCAACTGCGGCCCCGCCGCCCTCAACTGCGGCCCCGCCGCCCTCAACTGCGGCCCCGCCGCCCTCAACTGCTGCGGCCCCGCCGCCCTCAACTGCGGCCCCGCCGCCCTTCTCTGCGGCCCTGCCGCCCTCTGCTGCAGCCCCGCCGCCCTCGACTGCGGCCCCGCCGCTCTCATCTGCGGCCCCACCGCTCTCACCTGCAGCCCCGCCGCTTTCACCTACGGCCCCGCCGCTTTCACCTGCGGCCCCGCCGCTCTCGTCGGCGGCCCCGCCGCTCTCACCTGCGGCCCCGCCGCTCTCACCTGCGGCCCCGCCGCTCTCACTGGCGGCCCCGTCACCTGCTGCAGCGCCGCCCACCACCCAGGCTGCCCGACCCGCCCCACCCAGCCGAGCAGCCGACCGCCGCGCCGCCCTGCAGCAGCACCGACGAGCCGCCCGGGCAACCGAGCAGCCGGACAGCCGAGCCGCCAAGCTGCCCAGCAGCCGAGCAGCCGAGCCGCCCTGCAACCGAGCCGCCCTGCACCCGAGCCGCCCAGCAGCCGAGCCGCCCTGTAGCCGAGCCGTCCAGCAGCCGAGCCGCAGTCCAGTCGAGCCGCCGAGCCGCCGAGCCGCACTGCAGCCGAGCCGCCCAGCCGCCCAGTAGCCGAGCCGCCGAGCTGCCGAGCCGCCCTACTGCCGAGCCGCCCGAGCTGCCCTGTCTGGTGAGCACAGTGCCTCTTTTCCTGCACTGCCCTCACCCTACTGTTGCACTGCTAGTCTACTGTGGTCATGGCTACCCCTAGTGTCCTCGCTTTTGACGCCGAGGGTTGAGCCATTGACTTTGGCGTCTGGGTAGATGACCTGCAGCTATTCTTACATTGCGATAGGGCAGACGGTCTCTCTCTCTTTGACCTCACCTCTGGCGCCTCTCCTGCCCCTGCTGCTGATGCTGACGCCACTGTTCGCTCCCAGTGGGCCACGCGCGACGCTACTGCACGTCTTGCTGTGCGTCGCCACCTCCCTACCTCCGAGCGTGCGCACTTTAGTCAGTACAAGAGTGCTCAGACCTTGTACGACGCCATAGTTGCGCGCTACTCCTCCCCTGCCACTGCTGCACTGAGCCGTCTCATGCTACCGTACCTCTTCCCTGACATTGCTGCCTTTCCCACAGTCGCTGACCTCATTACGCACCTCCGCACTAGTGACACTCGCTACCGCGCTGCGCTTCCTGCTGACTTCTGCACCAAGAACCCCCCCCCCCCATGTACATCACTCTCTACTACATTGTCACTCGCCTCCCTTACTCCCTTCGCGTAGTCAGGGACCACTTCCTCTCAGTCTGTCCCACCACTCTCACTGTTGACCTCCTCGAGAAGTCCCTCCTAGCGGCCAAGAAGAGCATAGTCGCTATAGGGGCTTCTCGTGGTGACCCGCGCACCCCCATCTTTGAGGGGTGCTCCCCCTCCCCCCTTCTGCCCTCTGTTGCCTCTGCTGCTACGGCCGACCTCCTTGGTCTTGAGTCGGTCGGTGCGGCGTCTGCCCCTAGCGGGAGACGCCGCTCTGGCAAGGGCAAGGGGGGCAAAGGCGATGGAGGAGCGAGCGGGAGCGGTGGAGGTGGAGGCGGCGGGGGGAGTGGGGGTGGCGGTGGGAGTAGAGGTGGGGGAGGAGGTGTCGGTGGCGGCAGTGGAGGCGGAGGCGGCGGCGGCGGTGGTGGTGGGAGCGGAGGTGGCGGAAATGGCGGCGGTGGAGGCGGCGGCGGAGGCGGCAGTGGTAGCGGAGGCGGCGGAGGCGGCGGAGGCGGCGGGTGTGCGGTGGAGCTGGTTGCGAGTCTAGACAGAGGAGTGGTTCCGGTGGTGGCCAGCGCCAGCAGCAGCAGCACGGTCGTGAGACCCTGTCCCCTCAGCAGCTCCGTGAGTGGTACACTGCACGCTAGCGGGGTGGGGGTTTTGGTCCGTGCACCTACGTCCTGCGCACCGGCGACCGTGCGGGTGAGCAGTGTGGGGGTGCGCACCCCACCCAGCGCTGCTTTGGCCGCCTGACGGACGCGTGGCGTCGCCAGTTCCCTGATGCCATAGAGATCCCTCGCTGGGGCGAGCTGTCTAGGGCGGGAGTTGCTATCTATGATCTTGATTTTGATATTATTCTTTCTGCCATGTATGCTGTGTCTATAAGTGATGAGGGTGACTGTTACCGGTGTTTCCCGCCCGATCCAGGCATTGGGACTGCTGCTCTAGGTACTGGTGAGGCTGCTGCCCTAGGTGCTTGTGACGCTGCTGCTCTAGGTGCTAGTGCGTCTGCGTCCTCAGGTACTGGTGAGTCTGCGCTCTCAGGTACTGCGTCGGCTTCGGCCTCCCTCACCTTCACCCTTGACTCTGGGGCTTCTCGCTCCTTCTTTCGGGACCGCACCACACTCACGCAGCTTAGTCGGCCAGTTGCGGTGTCTCTGGCTGACCCCTCTGGGGGTCTTGTCCTGTCTCACTTCTCCACAGTCCTCCCGTGTCCGGCGGCTCCCTCTGGCACCCTGTCTGGTCTCTACCTCCCCTCGTTCTCTACGAACTTGGTGAGTGGTGCTGACCTACAGGATGGGGGAATACACCAGTCCACTCCTGCGCGTCAGCGGGTGACGCACTGCATAGAGGCTAGCACAGGCCGACACTTGGCTACGTTTACACGTCAGCAGGTGTCGAGCCTGTACACACTGACCACCGCGTCTCCTCCAGTTGCTGAGTCTGGTAGGGTAGCTGCGTCGGGTTAGGTGTTTGCTGCAGCGTCCAGGTCTGGTCCTGAGTCTGCCCCCTGTTCGTGTCGTCTCCTGTCTCACGAGACTCTCCTCTGGCACCACTGCCTTGGTCACCCCTCTCTGCTTCGTCTCAGAGGCATGGCCTCCCGTCTTCTTGTTTCTGGTCTCCCCCGGTCCCTCCCTCCCCTTCCGACAGAGGCCCCATCGCAGACGCTTCACATGGACGTGTGGGGCCCAGCCTGCATCCGTGGGCAGGGTCACGAGCGCTACTTCCTGCTCGTTGTTGACGACTACTCGCGTTACACCGCAGTCTTCCCCTTGCGCACCAAGGGTGATGCCACTGAGGTGTTGATCGACTGGATCCGCGCAGCTCGTCTCCAGCTCAGGCAGAGCTTTGGCTCGGACTTTCCTGTTCTTCGTCTTCACTCGGACAGAGGCGGAGAGTTCTCCTCTTGCCTTCTGCGAGCCTACTGTCGTGCACGAGGCATCCGTCAGACCTTCGCGCTTCCGGACTCTCCGCGGCAAAATGGGATCGCTGAGCGCCGCATTGGCATGGTCATGGACGTCGCTCGTACGTCTACGATGCATGGGGCTGCCCCCCATTTTCTGTGGCCGTTTGCGGTGAGGTACGCGGCGCATCAGATCAACCTTCACCCCAGGGTCTCCAGGCCGGAGACCTCGCAAGCCTTGCTGTGGACGGGGAAGGTTGGCGATGCGTCTGCGTTCCGGGTCTGGGGATCTCGGGCGTTTGTCCGCGACTTGTCTGCGGACAAGCTGTCCCCTCGTGCTGCTCCCTGCGTCTTCTTGGGGTTCCCCCCTGACGCGCCTGGGTGGCAGTTCTACCACCCCTCCTCTCGTCGTGTTCTGTCCTCCAAGGACGTACTGCTCACCCCTGAGGGAGACCCGGATGCACTTGACATCCCGACTGCGTGCTCTTACACGGAGGCGATAGAGGGTCCCTACTCTTCTCAGTGGCAGGCAGCTATGGATGCAGAGATGGCTTCCTAGAAGTCCACAGGCACCTACGTTGACGCTGTCCCCCCTCTTGGGGCGAACATCGTCAGTGGCATGTGGATTTTCAGGGTGAAGCGGCCGCCGGGTTCTCCACCTGTCTTCAAGGCGCGTTACGTGGCTCGTGGCTTCAGTCAGCGGCAGGGAGTTTACTACTTTCTGACCTTCTCCCCTACCCTGAAGATGACCACTCTTCGGGTACTACTGCACGTAGCTGCTCACCGTGACTACGAGCTACACTCTCTTGACTTCAGCACTGCTTTCTTGCAGGGCAGCCTGCACGAGGAGATCTGGCTGCGCCGCCCACCTGACTTCACTGGGCCTTTTCCTCCTGGCACCTAGTGGAGCCTCCGGCGGCCAGTCTACGGTCTGCGCCAGGCTCCACGTGAGTGGCACGACACACTGAGGACTACACTTGCGGCTCTTGGGTTTACTCCCTCTACTGCTGACCCGTCGCTGTTCCTACGCACCGACACTTCTCTGCCGCCGTTCTACATCCTCGTGTACGTCGACAACTTGGTCTTTGCCACAGCTGACACTGCTGGACTCGCCTACATGAAGTCCGAGCTGCAGAAGAGACACACGTGCACAGACCTGGGTGAACTGCGCAGCTACCTTGGCTTGCAGATCACCCGGGACAGAGCACGCCGCACCATTACCCTGACTCAGTCACACATGGTGCAGCAGGTCCTTCAGCGCTTCGGCTTCACGTACTCCTCGCCTCAGGCCACTCCTCTGCCTACTCGCCACTCGCTCTCAGCTCTGCCTTTGGATGAGTCCGTAGAGTCGAGTGGCCCGTTTGCAGAGCTTGTTGGCTGCCTCATGTACCTGATGACCTGCACACAACCTAACCTTGCATACCCTCTTAGCATTCTTGCACGCTATGTTGCTCCTGGGAGACACCGACGAGAGCACATGGCTGCAGCGAAGAGGGTGTTGCGCTACTTGTGCAGTACGTCGGGCATGGGGCTAGTGCTTGGAGGGCGGAGTCCAGTGGTCCTCACTGGACACACGTACGCTTCTTGGGCTGACGACCAGGCTACGCAGCGGTCGTCATAGGGTTACACCTTCAGCCTTGGTTCCGGCTCTGTTTCGTGGCGGGCTACTCGCTCGTCTTCTGTTCTCGGCTCCAGTTGTGAGGCTGAGATCTTCTCAGGGGCCATGGCTGCACAGGAGCTTCGCTGGCTCACCTACCTACTCACTGACCTTGGAGAGCCGCCTTGTTCTCCTCCAGTCCTGTACGTAGACAACAAGGCCATGCTGGCCTTGTGTCGAGAGCAGAGACTGGAGCACAGAACAAAGCACATTGCTCTTCGCTACTTCCTTGCTCGTGAGCTACAGCAGCGTGGTCAGTTGCGACTTGGGTACGTGGCCTGTGAGGCCAACACTTCTGATGTCTTCACCAAGGCACTTGCGCCTTGTGATCATCAGCGCTTCTGCACGCAGGTGGGTCTTGTTCCTGTCTTACCTCACTTACTCTCCTCTTGACCTTGCTTGTACTGTTACATATATATACACCTACTCTTGCTTGTCTAGACTTTTATATATATGTACTCCTGAATGTGAACTGGCCTTGTGGCCTTGAACTTGTGCTCGGAATGTGTGGTGACTTTGTGATCCACCCTGAGCTTGCTTTGCTTTGGTTTGCTTGACTGGTCTTGTGACCCCTTGTTCTCCCCCAGTTTGCCTATGGGGGTGTGTCAGAACATTATAGCTTATGCTTTTGTGTAGGCTGTAGTGGGGTAGCCCATATGGGGTACAACCTGTCAGAATATTATCTTATTGTTCTAGCCTGTAGTGGGGTGCTCTATAGCGAGTACAACCCTTCTAGGGTTTGCTATTTGTATCCCCATTTCTGCTAGTTCAATCCTCTTTCTTTCTTCAAACTTTGTCACAACCCAATTAGGGTTAGTACTTGTACTCACTTCATTCATAGTTGATTCATTCTCGTTCTCACTTTCTCAACACCGTGGACTTGCAACGTTTGCGAACCGCTACTCTGCAACGCTGGAGTGGTGCGAGTGCTACTGCGCTGGAGCGCGGTCGACCATGCTACGCTGGAGGTCGACCAGCAGCCTAGCTAGCTCTGATGTAGTCTTTGATGCCAATGTTGTTGCTACCATTATTCTAAACTTTTCCTAGTGGAACTCTTGCCAACTTTCCTCGTGAACCAGCAAGTGTGTGCGCATAAGGAAACGACTAAGGAACGAACGAATGCAGAGATTACACGAGCACACGTGCCTAGCCCGTAAACTAGCTCCCGTTGGAGTAGTTATCTCTGCAATGCAGCCCAGCAGAGGCCAACTATTCATCCTACAAAGGGGAGGGGTTGGCGGCAGTCTGGGCAGTGGGGCACTTCGGAGATACATTGTGAAGGAAGTCTGAGAATCAGGTAAATTGGTGAGGATATCACAATGTATCTTCTCCCTCTCCTTGTCACTGGCAGCTCTCCCGCGATATCCAGGGACCACCGGTATCCCAGCTCAACTATGCCTAACGGCTGCAGCTCTTCCTGGCTCTTCAGTAGACTCGCCTTATTCCTGCGGCACAGCTCGCACTTTTCTACCCACTCTTTAACCTCTTGCCTCATGCCTGCCCACCACCACCCTGTCTGTAGCAGCTGCAAAGTCCTAAGGGGGCCGAAATGCCCTAGCTTGCCATGCACTTCCTTGATGATGCCTTCCCTCTCTACTGGCTTGGGCACCCTCTTCCAGCCATCCTTCGTCTGTAGCTGCACCTGTCCTTAATACCATTCCTAGTGTTGCCCCCTAGCTCTCGCTCTCGCTGCGGCTCCCCTATCTTCTGTGGTCTCCCCTTTGATACACGTCAGCATCTCCGGATCCTGCCATACATCCGCCGCTCCTCGCGCGGGCGCGTTTGCAGCCCCCTTCTCCTTCAGCATGGCGGTGAGGGCTGCCAACGGCAGCCCGTCTGCCTTTTATGCTTCTGCTTCTTTGGGTGGCGGGTTCCTGGACAACCCGTCCACGTGCTACATCGTCTTGCCCGGCCTGTGCCTCACGGTAAAGTCATATTCCTGTAGCTTCATTGCCCGTCTTGCATTCCTCCCAGTCAGACTCTGATTCAGCATCAGCCACAGCAATGGCTGGTGATCCGTCACTAGCATGAAGTGCCTGCCTTGCAAGTATACTCTGAAGTGCCCCATCGCCCAGACTGCTGCCAGCCCCTCCCCTTCGTAGGATGAATAGTTGGCCTCTGCTGGACTGCATGTCCGGCTTGCAAACGCTACTACCTTCTCCACCCCCTCCTCCATCTGGCTCAACACTGCCCCCATCCCTATGCTGCTCTAGTCAGTGTAGAGGACGAAGGGCACCTTCTCGTCCGGCAACTTCAACACTGCCCCCTGTTTCACAGCTTCCATCAGCCCCTTCAGAGCTATCTCCTGTTTCTCTCCCCACTCCCACTTATGATTCTCCTTAAGCAGGCAGTTGAGTGGGGCTGCCTTCCTGCTGAAGTCCGCGATGAACTTCCTGTAGTAGTTCAGGAAGCCTAAGAGCGCCCTCAGCCCACTCCGGTCCTTTGGCCTGCTCACCCTGTCCAAAACATCCACCTTTGCTTTCTGGATGCTCAGCATTCCCCCCGCCACCTCAAATCCCAGGTACATGACGCTGCAGTGACCAAAGCGGCACTTCCCTGGATGACATGTCAACCTTGGCGCCTCTATTGCCGCCAGAGTGTTCTCCACGTCTCGCAGATGTGCTACCGCGTTCTCGCTGTGGATAATCTCATCATCTATGTAGCACGCTGCCCCCTTGACTCCTCTCAACACCGCGCCCATTACCCGCTGAAAAACCGCTGCTCTCCT